TTGATTCCAATATCAGGGCAGAGTTGAAAATTTGACTGAAACAATAATATTCAATTGTTCATATTAATTTATTTGATAATGTTTGAAATAGAACATATATTGAATAAATTAAATCATTGAGAGCTGAATATTATTTTTATCAGTGGTTTTGGAGTCTGTCAGATAAGGGACTGAAAGTTTCAATATACTAAATTGTGAATTTTCATCTTCTTTTAATTTCTGTTAATATTTCTTTAAATCTTTTCTTTTTTTTTTCTTTATTCTGTTTTATTTTCTTGTATTTTATAGAAACACACTGTTCACTGCAAGTCTAAATTGGCACATTTCTCATTTTGCTCTTTCAAGACAGTAACAATATATAAAATTTTAAAAAAATTTATATAAAAAAAAAAAAAAAATTAATAAATAAATGTTAAAATATTTAATTTTAATATTAATTATATATACAGTATATACTTAATATACTGTATAATAATAGTAAAAAAAATAATATAATTTTTAAATTTTAAATTGTAACTTGAATTTATATAACCATATAATTTTAAAAAATATAATAAAAATTAACAATTTTATTTATATTAATAATTTAAAGATTAATATAATATAATTATTTTATATTAATTTTTTTTTTTGAGTTTAAAAATTAAACAAAGCAAAAAAACAGTTTCTTGATTATTTCTTTTAAATAAAATATAAAATAACATTGTTAAGTATTTAAAAAAAAATCACTTATATAATTATATATTTCTAATATACTAATTAATAATTTAAACTCTTAATAAAAAATTTTTTTATTTAATTAATATTGCCAATTATATTTTTTTTTAATAATTTTTTTTATTAATGTATTTAATTAATTTTATAATTAATTTTGATTATAAAAAAATATATCTAAAATTTTAAAATAATAATACCTATTATTTATAAAAAACTTCAAACGTTTTTGATTAATTGAATAAAATAATAATTTCAGAAAAATATAACTTGTAAAAAAAAATTATCAATAAAAAAATTAACATTTATTTTAATTACAAACCTTTTAAGTAAAAAGTTTAAAAAATACTTTTTTTGACTATTTTTGAATATATTTGTTTTAATAAAATTAAATAGTTTGGTTGCAAGTAATAAGAAATAAATGTGTTAACAATTACAGTATAAGAAGTTTTAAATTTGATTTAAACTAGAAGAAAAAAAATTTTAATAATAGTAAAATAGATCGATAATAACTTTTTTTGATTTTTTTTCTATATGCAAATTTATTGTATTTTTTCTTTTCTTTTTGCAATTTTTACAAAAGAAAATTTATATAATGCACTCGAGGTTTTATTATTTTTGTTTGCGCATATCTAATCGGGCAGGTACGAAGCATCTTTAATGAGTGTTAATTGCTTGATGAATGTAAGATAAATCTACAACGAAATCGGGTATATCCATTCGTATTGGGAATTTATAATATTTCCGCTTGGATATATTGCAATGTCAGGTGTCAATGGTCCCTCTCTCCCACATGGACAATATTGATAACATTAAATATAATATCTATCGGAGGGAAATTATAGTATCACCATTTGGATTTTAAAGTAAGTTGAACTATTGATTCATTCACAGCCGTTTTTCATCTCAACAATAAACATGTTCCCATCTGAATGGTATATACTTACTCTTCCTTTTCTAGATACTTACCTTCTACATAATAAGTTCAGAACACCTCATGAAAAGGAATTCAAATCATATGTTAGTGACGCTTTGTTCAATCTATACATTTCAATTGTTCCAAATTATACAACCTATTTTTGTCATTAAATTAAGGGAAAAAAAAAACGCCACGAATTTTTGCATCAGCTCTATTCTTTATTCACTCAGGGCTGAAGAAACGAATTCACTTCTTTGCCTATCTCATGTTATTTCGTTGCCTTTTGCAAGGATATTAACAAAGTATTACATCCATTGATATCAAGAAAACCAGTTAAAACCATTTGTTGCTCCAAGAATTCACAGTGTCAATAAGGTAATTCACCGCAGAACGTAAAAAGTATTTTAGCGCAACAGCCAATAATTTAATAATTACGTAGTATTTGTAAGAACCATGAAATTAAATGACAGGTATTGTTAATGGTTTATTCTTTCGCCGTTTGAGTCAATTATCGCCCTATATCTCTCTTGCAAAGATGCCTTCGAACCATTTCTCTTCCGAGTATTATACCCTTTTTTGAAAGTTTACTTACCAACTCACCTACTGATATTGTAGGCGTTCGCCTGATAAACTGACCGATTTTACGCTTTACACTTGAATTGACTTTTCTTGGACGACCTGCGCCCCTTCGTTGTGCTACATTACCCGTCTCTTAATTTTTTTAGGTTGTAATACAGTATATTGTAGAGAGGACAATGTTCGTACGTCACTAAATTTCTCTCGCGGAGCGAACTCCTTTACTCCATAAAAGACAAATTGCTTTGCGTTGCTGGTTTTTTGTTGAAGAGGTCATTTCACGCCATTAGTATGATTACACATGTCGAAAACTCGATTACCTTTTGTAGTTACGAAATTACGCTTGAAAAAATTCCAAATAATTTTGGGTACCACTATATATATATATATTATTTTTATTTATTTATTTTATAATTTTTTCAACTGAGATTCAATTTTTCAAATGCAAGAATCATTGATTCTAAAGATAAATGAAAACAGGATTGATGAAGCATCAAACTAATTGATGAATGAAAAGAAATAAAAATCTATGAACCAATGAGAACGCATTTTCTGCCTTTAATCTTCCGATCCCCTCTCTACAACCGCAACCTTCTTCCAATCTCCTTGCCTCTACAAGCACTCTCACTTTATTCCAATTTCTCGAGATCTTCTATCATATGGTCCGGCCCAGAGACTTTATAACTCATCGCACCCGGTTCCTCAATATTAAGTATTTTAACAACTCCATCATCGACAAAAATCGAAAATCTCATTCCGCGTTCTCCAGCGAATGGAAGATTTTGGGTGAGTCCGAGCGCAGAATGAAATACTATTTCGCCGTCGCTTAGCATCAGGATTTTATCACCAACGCCATGAGAGTTTGCCCATTCTCGCATGACGTAAGGATCTAGTAATAATTAAAGTGCATAATTTAATAACAATGGTAATACAATAAACAACAATAATAATAATACAAACAAAGAATAATTACCGTTGACAGCAACACACGCAATCACATCAACACCTTTGGTTTTCAATTTGTCTGTGCGTTCAACATATTGAGGTAAATGCTTTGAACTGCACACGGAGGTAAAAGCGCCTTTTGTTTTTTCATATTGCAGAGGTCGAAAAGAGGAATTTTTCATTGTTACTGTCACTCGGGGTTCAACAAATCCCTCGAAATTCGTCTTCCTTACTTACCAGGAATCCCAAATATAACCACCTTCTTTCCTTTAAAAACTTCCTGAGCGCTAATCTTGCGAGGTTTTTCTTCGCCATCGTTAAGTACACCAAAGTATACATCATCGGGAATTTTATCACCAACCTTTACTTTTGGATTCGTCATTTTCTTAATTTTCTGAAGTAAACTTCAAAAGAAAAGCGTTTTGAGAACGAAGGACACATACATATATATAGATAAGTTCCTGGGCGGAGTTATGTACGATACGTGATTTGTCATTTCATATTTGTAATTTTCTGACATCATAATTATTGGATTGATCCATGTTCGGAAAAAAGGGTTTCTAGATTCAGCTAGCATTCTTATATTCCAAGATAAAGTATCACTTTCATCATATTTACACAATAATTAAATTAAACAAATAAAGATGAAATCGTTGATTATGATTTTTTTACGTATACAAGTATAATGAATGCGTAATACAATGTGCTTCAGATGTGAAATTTCTATGACACTTCTTTATCTTTTAAATCTTCATCGCTAATTTCTAATTCTTCGGCTGACTCCCCTTTCCCTGCATCCTCATTCTTACCGTCCGAGTGTCCCACTTCAAGCTCCTCTACTTTCAACTTTTTTAACTCAAAATCATCCACTTTAAAGTTTTTCAATGTGTCCACCAGTTCATCCTCTCTTGGTTTCCGACCCACTATGATCAAAATATCATTATAAGATTTATACTCTTCACACTCCTCTAAAGCTTTTTCCATATCCGTATCCCACTCGTCCTTTTCATTCTGCCCCACCTTTTCTCTTTCAACACTTTCCTCACCTTCAACACCTTCCTCCTTGTCGTCTTTATTTCCAATCACTCCTTGTCCGATACAGAATAGCTTGTACGCTTTGACCACATCGATCACATTAGTTCTCATCCATTCTCCGACCTGACCGCCCCAGTATCCGCATGGAACTGATATCGATCTCACATTAACATCCACTAACCC